TTATTTTACATGATCTGAGCTTTGAACTCTGATAATCTGGATTTGTGTGTTATCTGCAGTCACAGAGACAAAAGTTTTCAAAGTGAATCCAACAGAAACAAATGAGAGCATCTGTGAGTGTGAGGACGATCAGCCGACGGTTTAATGTCAGAATAATATGAGCCATGTTCACACTTTATTCTTTGTTGTTATGCTATGCTAATATTTAAAGCAAAAAAACAATTTAACCACCAGGAAATATTCAAAAATTATTCGTTGAAAGGCCAGGGGGGTTATAACTTCAGGGGAAAATTAAATTTCAAGACAAGACTACAAGAAAAAGTTTTTGTATTTCTGTCTGTTGAATGAAACTATGACAGTGTTTGAATGTCAAGAGATGTTTTTCGCAAGGTATAAGAATGAAGAGGGTGTTTGACTATCAGCAGGTGTTTACTCATTTATTTACCATCAGTTTTGTTTATATACATGTGAGTGTTTGTACATACATAGTGTGTTTGTACATACATAGTTTGTGTGTATATATACATAGTTTGACAAAGCAAACAGATCTTTCATGACTGGATAAGGATATAAAAATGAGATTTTTTGAATACAGTATAGATATATGAATTTATATTTTCTAAGTACTTTTCTAATTATTTATATCATGCTATAAGACAAATATTATTGGTAATTAATTTAATTTATTATTAGAATAGGTCTAGGAGAATTCATTGTTGTACAGCTTTATACTGATGGGGAGCTACATAACTGACTATCATTAATATATGAAGAAGGGGTGGGAATAAATAAGTTTGTACTTCCTCCCACTCCTTTTTGGACATGTACATCAAAACATTATATGTTGTTTTCAGTTTTCATGCTGCCTTTAGTAACTTGTTTTTGTCTTTATGTATGTCTACCACTGGCTATTTTTATGTTATTATGTTTGTTGTATCAGAGTTCAATCAATCTGTTTTCCTTACACAAATCATAAATAGAAGAGACAGAGTTATGTAAGAAAACATGACTTCGACATTACGCAGGTTACTGTTTTGTCCCTTGCAGCAAATTAGTCTGCAGTAAACAAAATCCCATTTCATTTTCTGCTTTAGAAATGTATAAAATATTACACATGCATGTGCATTAACCGCACACTAAATGTCAGTGTTTGCATTCCACAATTTTTAAGTGGCTTGCTGTATGAATGGAGAGGTGCCAGANTATTACACATGCATGTGCATTAACCGCACACTAAATGTCAGTGTTTGCATTCCACAATTTTTAAGTGGCTTGCTGTATGAATGGAGAGGTGCCAGAGTGAAAAAAAATTGAATTTCCCCTCAGGGGGATTAATAAAGTATATAAAATTAAAAAAAAAAAAAAATTGATTATTTCATCAACCTGGCTTCTTAATACAACATGTGTATTTCTGCCAATAATTTTATCTACAGCCTTAAAAGTGGCTTGATCTTTTCTTAAACTAGCAAATAATTCCTCCACATGACTGTAAGTATTATTCTTATTCAACAGTATATTGCTGAACTTCTATTCCAGCTCCTGACCTCTTAGATCCTGGGAACATTGTCTTTTAACTGTCCCCTGATTGAGGCTGGTGGGTAAGGGAGATTGGGCCTTTGCGGTAGCTGCTCCAAAACTTTGGAATAGCCTCCCACTCTCAATTAAATATTCCCCCATCATTGACACTTTTAAGACAAATCTTAAAATGTAGATGTTTTCAATAGCCTTTGGTTGTCTGTAGTCATGGATTGGTTTTATTCTGTTTTTATTTGTGAACATTTTATATTACTATATATTTGTGTGTTATTCTTTTTTGAACAGCACTTTGGTCAACTGTGGTTGTTTCTAAATATGCCATTTAAATAAAGTTGATTTAATTTGATTTTGATTTGAATAGCCAATTTGATGGCTTTCATAATCTTAACTACCTTCTCACCTTGCATTTTATCAGCGACACGCTGCCCTTTTTATTTACATTCCTTTTCACTGCTGTGACATATAAATATAGAAGTGATGGGTGGCCTTGGAAATGTAAACTGTCAAAATTAATTACCTTTTCACTTGTGTTTTTATCAAATTGCGGTGCATTCTCAATCCAAAACAAGCAATGAACATAAGGTAAACAACAATGTTGAAATACCACAGAATAAAAGTAGTCCAAGATTTTTCCTGTGATGGAGACATGAGTACTTCCCTCAAAAACAACACCATCTAAAATCAAACATCCTTGCTGCAGTGACAATACAACGGTGCAACAGTTCACACCTGTCTGCCCATTTTAAATCGTCAACTGTCTGTATTTCTTCTTCCTGTTTCAAAATTCTAAGGAGAAGGCTTGTCCAACACAAAACTGTAAAAGGAAATGAAGATAACTATGGAGGGACACCAAGCTGACAGACATAAGCTAAGAGGTCATGCTTTGCTCTCTGCCAAAAAGCTGGGGTACCTCTAATAGCTCTAAAAAAAAATGGAACCCATCATCAAACTGAAACAATATTTGCTCAGAACAACAGGCATAACAACAATAACAATAATAATAATCATTATAATCATAATGATGTAATTAACAATAAACAATAATAATGAAGACGACAAGAAGAGGAAGAAATAAATTCATAGGCATTTCTAGATATACAGACTCTATTACTGAAATGTCCAAATAGTATTGCCACCTTCTTTTTTCATTCTTTACCTCATACACTTTATTCCACATACTGTATCTTTTATAAATGTGTTTATAGTCAGCTCTTTCCTTAGTTTTTGTATTCATTGCTTCATTAAAAAAAAATTACATTTCTTACATGCTAAAATTATAATTAAAGCAGTACTTCACCTGCAAACTGATCATTTGTATACAATTATTTACCATGTTACAATGATTTTGTGAGGAAAACTTTGTTTTTTATGTCATGTTTAATATTAATACACCTTGGTTTAGGACTTGTTGCCTGTCTTCAGTACTCAATGCATCATTCCTCATTAAATTAACCTGGATAAGGATGTTCACATGACTGATGAATCCACTGAATGAACCATCTGTATTATCTTTTGTGTGCAGGTTGTGCACTGTGCCCTGTTGATATCTACTGACATTTTATTATGAACATGTTTCAGGGACCTTTGTTGCATGTCATGTCATGTCCATCTGTCTCTATCCTCATGTCCTGTCTGTCTCTGTTGTCTCCTTTTAATAAATGTTCTCATTTCACACTCAAACATCATAAACTGAATACGTAACTGACTGTAGCTGTCATGGGTTCCTGAAATGTCATATTTTCACAACACACCAAAGTCTTTTGCATATCTTAGCCGTCATCATTTCCTGGAAATCTGTAAAAATCACTGAAAAGACCTCTTAGTGGAGAAATACAGACTAAATTCTTGAAATGTCTAAACAGTACAACCACCTTCTTTTTTTCATTCTTTACCTCATATAAGTTATTCCACAAACTGCATCTTTTATGAATGCCTTTATAATCAGTTATTTTCACAAGTGTTTTTTTCTGTGCTATTTCTTTCTGGCACAAAAATTGCTTTCACTGCTTCCATGTCAAAATATATTTATGGAAATACTTCACCCAAAATATTACCATTTCTATATAAATGACTCACTTGTGCATGCATTTGTGAAGAAAACTTTTTTTTATTCTCTGTTTAGTGTGGATGCATTTTACAGAAACAGCACCAAACTATATCAAAACATCTGTTTACAAACTCTCCTACAGTATAATCCAATTTATCCAACATGTTCTTTTGTAAAATAAAAGTGAGTGTTGATGTTGTCAGTGATGGGGAGCTTTATTCGTTCTCAGGTTTGTTGCAGTGTGTGTTGCTGCTGTGGGTTAAACTTTAACATGTATCATATAAAGTCATATAAAGACACAGCAGCTGAACTTTGAACTGAGCGCTGCAGGTTGGTTCATTACAGTGTTTGAGTGTGACAGCAGCCTGCAGACACAGAGGACTGAATCCTGACGGAGGACAACAGAAAACTCTTTGTGTCCACAGACCTGGTCCAGACAGCAGAGAGCTGCAGAGTGATGAAGTCCATGAGAAGAAACTGAGTAAGTGGACCTTTGATTGATTCCAGTCTCTAATGTGTCTCTGTTGGTTCATGTGTTCACCTCCTGTCTTTGATCCAGACTCCACAGCACAAAGTTTATCTGACAACAAACACTTTAAAGTCTAATGATGAACCTGTCTGTCTGTCTGTCTGTCTTCATCAGGAGGCTGCAGGTTATCACCAACATGAAAAGGTATCACACTCAACACCTGACATCACATTTGATCCTGTTTCACCTTCAACATGTTCATCAACTCTCTGTTTCCTGTTTCTCTGCTCTCTCACCTCAACACTGACTCATAATAAACCTGTAAATGTACTCAAAGAGCCACAATGTGTCAATATAACCAGTTAATGGTCGGGACCTCGGAACCTCCGACCTTATGAACGCCGCTTAATCTAAAGCAGATGAACAAAACACATGCAGGTTAGTCTGTCACACCTCGTGTTAAGGGCTGTACCCTTCAGACAAACTATAGAAAAGCAACGTACTTAAAGTGACATGAACTTTTATAGAATTTACATCCTTAAAATGACAAACTTTTATGATAGCAACAATAGTTATCTACTGCTGTGCGTGTATTAACTCTGGGGTTTTTAACCAGGGTTTACACAGAGACAAAAGTTTTCAAAGTGAATCCAACAGAAACAAATGAGAGCATCTGTGAGTGTGAGGACGATCAGCCCACGGTTTCATGATTAATCACAGCTTCAACTGTTTGTCATAAGTCATGCTGTATCCATGGCAACGACTGTAGTCCTCATGTTATCCCTGTGGACTCAGCAGTGTCACAGTGTTAACAGTGAGAATTTAAACACATGACAGAGTGAGTGAAGTGTGGGAGGGCTCAGTGTGCAGGTCCACAGGGTGGAGGTTTGGATTGTGAGCTCCCCCTGGTGGTCAGTGAGGTTTACAGCTGCTCTCAGTGTTCCTGTCAGTCTGCTGTCATCCTGTAGGATTCTACTTCTCCTGTTGATAGCTGCTGATACTGAGGCTGAAGACTGAAAACTGAATTTCCCTCCCTGCTGCTCTTCCTCTCTGTGTGCTAGGATCCATCAGAGACCAGACTCCCCTCGACCTGAACCTGAACCTGAACCTGAACCTGGACCTGGACCTGACCCCAGCTGTGTGTCTCTTCAGACTGAACAGTCACATGAACATGGCATCGATGTTAAAGGACGAAAAGTCTCTGCTGCACAGTAAGCTGACATTAAATGTTAAATGAACCTGACAGCTTCCCAGTTTAACTGGTCTTGTCTCCATCATCTCCATCATCTCCATCATCTCCATGCCCCAAGCCTCGCTTTCCATCATCCAAAAGTCACTCAGGAAGCGAGTACAGTCTCAACACAGTCTCTTCCACGGTCCATATCCCACTCAGTCAATCTCCACTCAAAACACAAAATCCATCATGTAACTTTAGCCTCCCTCCATTGTCCCGACAACTGTGGCCTAATGCTAAAAGAATTCTCTCATGTCAGTCGTCATGCTCACTGCTCCGTCAACACGAGCTCTCTTCTGGAGGCCATCATCACCCCCAAAGAATAAAATAAAGAAAACTCTGAAACGTTAACACACCTGTTCTTTTTCTCAATCTGTAGAGTTTAAGACTGTTGCATCACCACCACCCACTGGATTGCAACAGTTTCACAGTACAAACTATTTTCAGTGTCCAAAGAGATCCCATTCAAGACATCTGTTTTTCTAATCCAGACCCAACAAACTCCAACTTTCACCTAAGAGAGCGGTGTTCATGTCCCGTAAGATTCTAAAGCCAAACACTGTTCTTTTATCCTAAACCTAACCACATGCTTTTGTTGCCTAAACTAACTATGTGTTTGTTGTTGAAGGAAAAAAAAACATCAATTTACAGTGTTGTACTATCGTAGTGTGTGTTTCTTTAAAGAGACTGTATGTAGACGTTAAGTTTCCTGTAAAAACGGAAGTATTTTTTGAAAACAGACAATGCATGTAACAGGCAGAATTGACATGGAGTCCCAGAACGTCAACAACCAACACACCCAGGGTACCTTGTGTGTTGTATGTGGACGAGGAAAGTCCAAAGTTACCAAACATCAATATGTGACGAGGTCGGAGTGAGAATGTGCTGGCAGGGCTCTGGTATCATGTGAAAGATGGTTTTCAGATGTTGGTCAGAATATTCAGTGACTGTGCTGTCCTGACATCAGTAGGGAGTTCATTCCACCACAGAGGAACCAGAACAGAAAAGAGTCTTGACCCAGATCAAAGACCACACCACCAGGGACAGGGCAGCTCCCAGATGTGCTGTGGCCCAAAGACAAACACAGGTCACGGTTTCAAGTGTAGGGGCAGGTCAACAGCATCAAGTGTAAGCCTGGCACTGGTATAAAATTCCAAATTCCAAGTATCACATCAGATTGTGGTGATCAGTGCCTTTAAGCACACACGCCGCTGTCTCACACACATCCACCAGTCAGGTCAAGGAATATCTATGCTGTGATTTTATGATGAATTGAAATCTTGTATGTTCAGTAAATGTCAGTGTTTCTATCAGTTTCCAGCAGCAGAGAGAAAAGTCCCCTGTACCCAGCTGTGTGTCCATGAAGAGTGATCAGTCTTTCGGTCGTCTGATTGACCTAAAAGATGGACGTTCTTCTTCTGACCCACTGTAAGTACTTAAAACTGTCAACTGAAACAGATGGGCTTTCAGTTACACAGATACAGAACTGGTGGTTCATGATTTACAGTGTTGTTTCCATCTGGTTTTCATTACAATCAATTATGGCAGAGCACAACATCGTTAACTAACTGGTGTGTGTGCGTGTGTGTGTGTGTGTGTGTGTGTGTGTGTAATTCATAACTTAAAGCAGTCTCCTGGTGCAAACACAATGTGAGCTAATTATTTCACTGAGTCAACCAGGGGAGGCCAAAGTGTCAGATCGCTGCAGATTTTTGGGGACTGGCAGACGACTGGGGACTAGCAGAAGTGCTGTGGGGACGAGCTGACGTCCTCTGGGCAGTAGTTGCAGATCTTTAAAGGACTACGTGCAGTGGTATGGCGAGTAGTTTCTGAGGACTATGGTCCAGATGCAGAGACTTGAGGACTCACTGAAGTGGTCTGGAAACAAATCAAGGAGGTTGTGGACTAGCTCCAAATTTTTAGGGACTACCTGTAAGGGTATGGGGCGTGGTTTCAGAAGGCTATGGATCAGATACAGAAGTTTGAGGACTTCCTGCAGAGGTTTGGGTGCAGAGAACAATTTCTTGTAGAGTCAGTAAGATAGTCAGTTTAATAACTCCCTTTTAAGGGTTGCCCTTATGTCCTAGCCTTTTCGGGTAACTATTCTTTTGTTTTGCAGACGCCTCCAGAAACACCCTATTATTAAAGCTAAAGCCTCAGATTGCTAATTGCAATTATAATCAGGGAATGTAGTGCAGGCTCCACCACAAATGACCAAGACAAAGCTTTATCACTGACAGAAACTGGCCGTGCTCCCAGATGTGCTGTGGCCCAAAGACAAACACAGGTCACAGTTTCAAGTGTAGGGGCAGGTCAACAGCATCAAGTGTAAGCCTGGCACTGGCATAAAATTCCAAAATTCCAAGTATCACATCAGATTGTGGTGATCAGTGCCTTTAAGCACACACGCCGCTGCCTCACACACATCCACCAGTCAGGTCAAGGAATATCTATGCTGTGTTTTATGCTGAATAGA